GTTTGGTTTTATAATGCGTTGACAATAGTCGGTCTGGAAGAGCATGGCTCATGCTTGCCTTCTCTTTAGCTTGTTGCTTATCAGGACTGGACCAGCAGGTTGGTCCCACTGTAAGCTCTGCAGAGCATCCAAGGACAAAAGGCCATACTTAACGGGTTACTGGTGGTTCTCACTGCATCCTACACTGCTAGAGTGGGAGGAAGTGCTCTGGAAAACTCACAGGTGGAGGTGGTCTTGCACTCTTGCTGTCAGGATGGCCCTGTCTCCACTCACCAGCTCCCACTGCCTCAGTGTCTTCTATTATACAATGGGGCAGTCAATTATTTTAGCCATTGAATACACACATATGAATCTGTGATAAAGATCAGAGGCAGGCCAAGCAGTGGGCCTGAAACTCAAGGGCCCCTAAATGGCAGTCTTTAACTGCAGTGTGTCAGATGCCCTGGAAAAAAAAATTTTTTCTTTTCCATGTCCACACAAAGCAGGGGAAGTAAATCCCCGTGGTTCCTCAAGGTTGTGGAAAGCATCATTTCAGGATGACACTGACTCAACTCCCTCTGCCTGATGAGAAACATGATTGAGGCAGAAAGAGCTTTAGCACTCTGATGAGGCCACCGCATCTCCCCTCACCCCTGCAGGGTGTCAAAACCACACACCAAGCGTGCTGCAGAGCTGCTGAGAAGACAGTAGGTTGACAAGACACAAGTTCCTGGCAGCTTCCAGAAGAGAGGAGAAGGCTGCTCAATGGCATATCACAGGTAGGTGAGGCCACCTCCAATTGTCTTACCCCCATAACCATGCCTGTGTGCTAGCAAACCATCAGTTGTGCTGGAGTCCAAGACCTTAGGCAAGTAACTTATTCTGGCTGCCTCTAGTTATCTCATCTAAAAATCTCAAGATAAAATGAAGACTTAACTCTTGGGGTCACAGGGAGCCTTATATGTATATATACTTTGAACATTGCCTGCCACCAAGGAAGCCCTCTTTAAACAGGAGTGCTATCTTGGGAAGGTGGTAGCCTTTACCTTGCACAGGATCAAGCATCAGGAGGAAGGGAACATTCCTGGCCTGGGGACTCCAAACATGGGCACTGTCACCACACATCACTCTGTGGAATATCTATGATAGCTTCCTGGATCACCATTCCACAGGACTGTCTGTGCTACCCCAGGAAAACTGAAGTATGCTATGACACAGTGCCATAATAGAAAGACCAGTGGAAAAATAACGCAGCTTCATGACTCCTGGCGCTTGCTATGACACGTAGCGCACCTATCAGAGCACTCTTTGGCTTCCCAAACACTTCCTGTTCTTGCCACAAGTTGGGCTTCTTTGCGCGAGCCAACTGGAAGGACTGCTGACAGTCTGGAAGCTGTAGTATCTTCTCTCTTGTGTTAACTGGTGATGGCAGCTATTGGTCTCCCTTCCAAAGTTGTTCTCTAATATTTTACTCTAACTTCCCCCTAGCAAAACAACTTGCAGCTACAAGTCACGCTCGCTTTCTGGTTCACTGCCTACCTGGGCATCAATAACCAAGCACTGGCTGCCTCCCTAGTCTCCAAACCCGTGGGCCTGGCACACTTCCACGCGCCTTGGTCACTGAACTTTGATCTAACCTGGGATGAACTTCAGACAAGAAGGCAACAGAGAAGCCAGCACTGACTTGTTTGCTTCATTTCAAGGCATTTGGGTTTAGTTGTCAAAAAGCAGCATTCAACACAGACCATATTTTGGGCCAGAAATCCAAGCTCAACAGATTACAAAAAATTTAAAACATTCCATGAAAACAATGTAATTAAACCACAAATTAATATCAGAAAGATATCTAGGAAAAATCCCCAAATAGTTGGAAATTAACAACACACTTGACAATAATGTGTGGGTCAGAGGAGGCCTCAAGGGAAATGAGAAAGTATTTTCAACTGATTAGAAATGAAAATATTAATATTTTGGCTATGCATTTGAAGTCCTTACAGGAAAATTATAGCATTAAAAGCTTATGTGGGTGAGGCTTGGGGCCTGGGGCATATTAAGTTAAGCCATCGCCTGTGATGCCAACAACCCATATTAAGCACAGGTTTAAGTTTTGGCTACTCAGTTTCCAACCCAATTCTCTACTACTGTGCCTGGAGGCAGCAGCAGATGGTCCAAGTGCTCCTGGCTCCTGGCTTCAGCCTGGCCTAACCCCAACCACTGAGGCCACTTAGAAAGTTAACCAGTTTCTCCTTGTTCTCTCAAATAAATCTATATTAAAAAAAGAATGAACATCCATTCCTGATTTTTAAAAAGCAAAAACATATCAAATCACACAGGGAATTAAACAGAACTTCTTCAACCCAATAAAAGGCTTCTATTGTTGGTTATAAATCACTACACCACTGCCCAAAGCACAGCAGTCAACGTTTATTATCTGTTTTTCTAGAGCTCAGGCATCCAGAAACAACTCAACAGGATACCCTGACTCCTGGTCTCCCGCCAGAATACACATAGGTTGTCAGCTGGGGTCAGTCTCACCTGAAGGCCCCTGGAGCTGGGGTTCACTGCCAAGATCACTTATGGAGCAGGCAAGCTTCACCTTTATTTGTAAACTACTGTCCTGAAGGTTTTGGTTCTCTCACTGTTGGCATCCCCTTGCTCTTGTCCACTGGGCAGTTCACCACCCAGCAAATAGAGTCCCTCAGAGCAAGTGATCAGCAAAGAACACAAAAAGATCCAAGGTAGAAGTCAGGTTCTTTTTTTTTTTTTTTTAAGATTTTATTTTTATTGCAAAGTCAGATATACAGAGAGGAGGAGAGACAGAGAGGAAGATCATGCATCCACTGGTTCACTCCCCAAGTGGCTGCAAGTCAGAGCTGAGCCGATCCAAAGCCAGGAGCCAGGAGCCAGGAGGGTCTTCCGGGTCTCCCACATGGGTGCAGGGTCCCAAGGTTTATGGGCCATCTTCAACTGCTTTCCTAGGCCGCAAGCAGGGAGGATAGGAAGTGGGGCAGCCGGGATTAAAACTGGCATCCATATGGGATCCTGGAGCATGCAAGACAGGACCCCAGCCACTAGGCCATGCCGCCGGGTCCCGGAAGTCAGGTTCTTTGTCATCTTATCTCAGCAGCAGTAGCCAGCGCTCAGCTTGGGGGGTCACAGGGTCTCTGTGAGATGCTACCTGCCACGGTATCTACAGAAACGGCAAAAACCTCTAGGATGAACAAGCCTCGATGCATTCTCTCGTAAAATCAGTGCAGTAAGGCCAGGAAACGCACTTGTAATCGAAAAAAAATATCCAGATGGCAAATAATATTAAAAACCGCTCAGTGTTAGTCACGAAGGAAACAAACTGAAACCACAGGAGGCCATCACCCTTCCCCGCCACCCCTGCCACAGACGGGCTAAGTTCCACGGAATCCACCAGCCAAGGGCCGGCCAGCCGGCCAAGTCCCCAGAAACCGCTGGCAGGAGTGTAAAAATGGAGCAGCCACTTGGGAAAACATCTGGGCGCTACAAAAGCATGCGGCAAGAAATCCTCCCCGTCAATATTTTCCCAGGAGGAATGCAAACGCATCCGCAGGAAATAACCCGCGTTGTGTGTTTACCATATTACACTCATCCAGCATCGCAATCAAGACCAAGAGTCCTCCACGAATACACACCCACGGGGACATTCCCACACTGGAAAACTACTCAGCAGGGAAAAGGAATGCAGACAGGCCAGTGGAACAACAGGAGCACCCTGAAATGGCCTGGTGGGTAAGAAAAGGAGTCTTCTCCTCAGAAATGGCTGACTCCTCTGACGAGACATTTCAGGGGTCGGCACTGGCCAAGCGTTTTTAGGGGTCCTCACACATCGTCCCTAACAGTCCTGGGTACTCACTCCATTGTCAAGGCAGCCCCTCTCTTCTCATCCAGGGTTCCGTTCCTTCCTAAACCCCACAACCAGTCGGTTGGTCAAGGACAACTGATTGACTTCCTCTGACCGGGAAAAGCAGGCGCCTAAGTATTGCGCCCGGGCAATGGGACGCATGCGCAGGTGGTGTCGGCGTCGGCCTCGCCCTGAGGTGCTCAGACCCAGAGGAGGGGAACCGGGCACCTCAAACAATAAAGGCAGGCTCTGGAATGTTCCACCAATCTCCCTTCCTCCAGAAGGCCTCTGCTGGTGGGGAAGGGCTCATTCGCCCCAACTCCAGCTTCACGCCTCTCCCTGCCTCGGTTTCCTGACGCCAGGCCCCCGGGTCAGGACAGGCAGAGGCGCTGCCCTCCAGGAGGCCCCTGGCCGTCGGCCACCAGACCGCCCGGTAAGCGTCGCCGTGGCGGGGGAGGAGGGGCAGCGCGGGTGGCTGCGAGTCGCTCCCGCCTCCGGCCGCGCTGCAGCCTCACTCCGGGTCGCTCCCGCTAGGCCGGTCCTCACAGAGCGCGGCGGCAGCGGCGGCCCCGCCCAGACCAGCCCTGGGCGGGGGCTGGTTCCCATGGGCACCGCCGACCGGGTCCTCCGCGAGCCTGGCCCGACGACAGAGACGGCGAAGGTGGGAGCCAGGCCCCGGGCCGACCCTGCCGCCGCGGAGCCGTGAGTCCGGGGCGGGGAGGAAAGCACAAAGCGGGCCCCTGGGCTTAGGCCGCCACGTGGCGCCGTTCGAAGCGGAGCGGGAACGGGTCGGCGGCGCCGTGGGGCTTCTGGCGCCGCGACCCCGGGAGCCGGCAGGTGTGTCTGCCTGCTGCAGAGAAATAAGACCCGAAATGAGAACCGGGGAAGCCCTTGGCTCCCGGTCCTCCTGCCAGCTCAGGTGTCTGAGATCGGATGGAGTGTAACATTAAAAAGACAGATTACCTTACCGGGAGAACCTTTTAGGATGATGGGTTACAGGCTGACTGCTTGGCTATCTTACTAGCCAATCACACTGGGGATTAGGCTGTGGCGGCTGACGGCGCCACCATTGCAGACGGGCAGATAAAAAAATCTTTCAAAATCTTGAAAGACAGACAGGGTCCCACCCCTTACCCTGACAAGCTCCCTCGTTCTGTTTTAGCGTTTTAGGTCTTTGGGGAGGCGAAGAAAGCCTTGGCTGTTTGAGGCTCAAGTGCAGTCCGAGCGTGCCAACATGTTGTAGGCGGTCTTTTCCAGCTATGTGAAGATCCATGTGCAGACTGACTCCTGTGTGATGGAGAAGTATGAGAAAATTGGGAAAATCGGAGAAGGATCCTATGGCGTGGTTTTCAAATGCAGAAATAGGGACACGGGTCAGATGGTGGCCATCAAGAGGTTTCTGGAATCAGAAGATGACCCTGTCATCAAGAAAATTGCCCTTCGAGAAGTCCGCATGCTCAAGGTACTGATTCACTTTTTCTTTAAAGTGACATTTCGTGGTTTAGAAGAAGAAGTGTGCCGTGCCAGGTTAAGGGAACACATGGGACAGGCTTACATATCCTTTCCCCAACTGTATCCACCAAAGTACTTCACAAGTTCTTAAAGAATGGAATTCCAAGATTCAATTTATTTTGGTGCCAGAAAAATCCATGTTGAAATTCACACATAGTTCTGTGCTATACGAACCATTCCATGAACTTTCTGTGGGCCGTTGGTGTGGAGAAACTGCACGGAAATAAACTTGCATTTGAATCCCATTCCACAGACTTTTTGCAAAGCCCTAAGTGAGGGATAAGATGGTATTCAGAGATACTGTGAAATAGTGTACTTTTCTTTCTAGTTGCTTCTTTTCTGCATCGCCTATAGACCTGAAAGTTCAATAGCTCTTCTTATTCTTTGATAGGCTAAGAATCCAAACCAACTCAGTTTCACTATTGCTCTTGAATTTTTTTTCAACTCCCGCGCTCTTTCTGTTGGCGTTCTCGGTACACCCAGAAAATCAGTGGTTCACCTATGATCGGATTCGTGTTGCGCCTCATGCATGTCTGCTGCTGAGCCACCTAACAAGATGGCTTCTGCAGGAAGGAGAATGTGATACCCAAGCAGCTGGGCAGAGTTGTTTACTACAAGCTGTAAATGTTTTTCCTCTAACAGAGGTATCTTTTCTGAATGTCTGTACGGGTTGCAGCTATGTGACTTGTAGTGAATTCAGCAGGGAATAACTCTGTTGCAAAGTTCTGACTTCTGTGTCCTGCCTTTGTAAGCTGACATGGTGACAAGGAGACATGGGTGCTTGAGTGACAGTTAGGGACACTTACTCCTTCACTGCTGTCAGGTCTCTCCAGAATTCCTTTCTCCACGGCTTGCATGCCTGGGTTCATTTCTAGGTAAGCCCCCTCAATAGGACTGAGCAGGCTTTGGATCCATGGAGTGTGTGGATATTAGGAAGTTTCTCTTTGATGTTGGAACGTTCTTTGCTTGCAGGATGCTGTCTGAGAAGAACAAGTCTTAAGTCTCACTCTGGCCCTGCCAAGGACTAGGGGCACCCTGTCCTGCCCTGCCTGTCTCAGCGGAGACAGAGCTTCTGTCTGATTCTCTTGGCTGATTGGCATTTGCACTTTCTCAGTCCCCGTGCCCCCAGCAGGTGGTAACCATATTTCCCAGGGTTCATTTGCTCTGAAGAGAAAGATCTGTTTCTAGCAGAGGAAGGAACGTTTTCTGAATCCAAAGGCCACCTGTGACTGCCCCAGCCTCTATCCCACTCAGCCAGTCCTGTGTTGCATTCCTCCAATCGGGGGGCCTTGCTTCTGGATCTCTGTGTCTTGGCACGTAGTAGGCCTCCATAAGTGTTATTGTTGGGGCGAAGGATGGGATCTTAGGAAAGGTAGGTATTGCTTTTACATTTGGAAATCAAATGTGTTGTCTTGAAAACTGAGTACTGGTGTGTTCCAAGGATAGAGTTGCAGGCACAGGGGCTGCATCTGAAAGCACACAGCCTGCCAGAACACACACACAGATGGAGAAAGCCCTGGTGTGTATGAGGTGCTGGGGTTGCATTATGGGTAGTCTGTTCTTGCCAGACCCGGTTTCTCAGAATTCTGCAATATTTCCCACTCATACTAGCTACTGCATGGATAATTGCTGAATGAATGGGGTAAGAATCTGTTAAATAAAGTCAGACTTGCTCCATTTCTTTATCCAGTAGCCCATAGCATGCCTAAACTGTGTTGGCTCACAGTGGTGTTACAGAAGCTCAGTACCCCGGCTTCTTAGAGGGCAGGGCCTGTGTCATTCACCTGGGTTTTCAGGCCTGGCCAGAACTCTCTTAATGCTTGGTGAATGATGTAAATGGAGGATGGTAAGGCATGTTTGAGCGAGACTTTGAGATGGGAAGGAAGCTGGAAGGCTGAAGAAGAGAAGGCCTTCAGGGCAGACAGTGGATCCTCAGAAAAGCTGCCTAGGAGAATGCAGTTTTTTGAGGGAACACTGTTGAAGCCAGTTTTGACCAAGATGGCTTCTGGGTACTAACAGGCTAAGGAAAGAAGGGAAAGAGAAGCCAGGGGTGTGTGTATTCTAGAAATCAGGGGTATGTGTGTGTGTGTGTGTCCCTAGAAATGAGATCTAGCTCTGGAATAAGGGCTGACTGGCTCAGAACTGCGTCTAGAACATGGAAGGCCTGAGGAGTTTGGAGCCTGACTCCAGGCCCCTGGTGTGGTCCCTGAGAACAGAAGTCCAGGTGAATGTTACAGGGCCCCTGCTGAGCAGGAACTCAAGGCAGCCTGTGGTAGCAGAGGCAATGAGGAGGAGCAATTCTGAGCTAGGAGGAAAACCCAGGCAAGTGGGCCCAGTGTAGGAATGCAGTTTGGCTGCTCCTAACTTTGGTCTTGCTTGATACAGCCCCTGGAGGAAGCTCTGAGTACCCAGTTAAGGAGTTCAGCATTGTTCTGAATTCAAAGCTAGGTGAGATTTCTTATGTTAGAAAGCTGTCATTTATTTGAAGATGTTTGGATTTCATGGAAAAATAGAATTTCAGACTTTTTTTTCTTTTGATGTCTTAGGATAAGATTGTCAGCATTTAAAAAATAACGATAATTATTATTATCCCTTATTATCCTTATTATTCCCTAAAAGAAATGACATTCTAATGCTAAATCAGGAAAGACAGTGGTAGGAGGGAAAAAAAAAACACAGTCCTTCCCCAGCGAGGAAGATGGATAGCCACCTAGAACAGCTACTTTGAGCCCCATCTACACTTCTCTGGTGTGTGTGAGCGCCTGCATGTAATGGTGTGCATGTGATTAGGGGTTTGTCGTTGGCTGTATTTTCCTCGTGTCTCTGACCTTTGCTGAAAATGGTGACCTGATTTACATTTTGCATTCCAATCTGATGCCAATAAGTTCTGGGTCTGGAAACGATGATTGCCCTGATGAGTGGATGCTCCCTTACAGGATCTATAAAAGGGGCTTCAAAATCTGGAACTAAATGGTCAGTTTGTTTTGGTGCAAAAAAAAAAATCTCAAAATCCATCTTTTCCAAGTACCTTTATGCATTTTGTAAAGATTTATTTGAAAAGAGGAGTGACAGGGAGAAAGAGAATCTTCCAACAATAGTTCATTCTCCAAATGGCTGCAGTTGCTGGGGTTGGGACAGACTGAAGCCAGGAGGCTGAAACTCCAGCTCGGTCTCCCATGTTGGTGACAGGCATCCAAATACTTGGAACATCTTCTGCTGCTTTCTCAGGCATATTAGGAGGCAGCCTGAAGGATGAAAGTAGAGCAACCAAGACTGGAAGCAGCAGCTTGCCGATATGAATTGCTGGCGTTGCAAACAGCAACTTAATCCAGTGTGCCACAATGCTAGCCCATCCTTGTTTATATGGTAGAACAAAATACCAGTATTATAGTACCAGATCGCTACATTGGATTTCACATTAGAACAGGGCTAGAATAGTCATCTATGTCTAGGCTCAGAATTCCTTTTTAAACTGTCTAAGCAGCTCTCAGAAGTTGTTGTGGAGCTCCTGAAACTAGAGTTGTTTCTTTCCAAGGAGATGCAGTTGTGGGAGTGATTGGCAATGTGAAGCAGGCCATGTTCAAGGCTTCACACAACAGCGCAGCCCTCCTGCTTCGTGGTGGGGAAGTTCACATGTAGGTGTAGCGAGCTGACAGAACATGCTATCACAGAAGGTAGCTTGCTCGGATTTTTAGAAAATATATTTTTCTGAAAATTGGAAACACTTTGAAATAACATTGTTTTGTGCCACTTGAAACAATAATGAATCTGGGCCCAGCAGCGTGGCCTAGTGGCTAAGGTCCTTGCCTTGAACGCCCCGGGATCCCATATGGGCGCTGGTTCTAATCCCGGCAGCTCCACTTCCCATCCAGCTCCCTGCTTGTGGCCTGGGAAACCAGACCAGGATGGCCCAAAGTCTTGGGGCCCTGCACCTGTGTGGGATACTTGGAAGAAGTTCCTGGATCCTGGCTTCGGATCGGCATAGCATTGGCCATTGCACTCACTTGGGGAGTGAATCATCGGACAGAAGATCTTCCTCTCTGTCTCTCCTCCTCTCTGTATATCTGACTTTCCAATAAATAAATAAATCTTTAAAAAAAAAGAAACAATAATGAATCATTTTTATGCAATAAACTCGTTATTCACAGTAATAAACCGCTTCCTAAAGAAAGTACAAGTGGATTTCAAAGCATTCATGGAAAAATGAAGTTGAAAGATAAATTTAGAGACAGACTTGAGGCATAGCAAGGTAAACCATGACTTGGGCACCTGTGTCCCATATCACAGTGCCTGCAATCAACCCCTGCTTGTGTTTCCTATCCATCTTCCTGCTGCTGTGCATCTCAGGAGACGGCACAAGATGGCTGAAGAGCTTAGGCCCCTACCAGTCTCCACCACACCTGAATGGAGACCGCTCCTGGCTTCAACTTGTCCTAGCCCATTTCTTTATCTCTCTGTCACTTTGCCTTTTAAATAAATATAAACATTTAAAAAAAACTTCTAGAAAACAAATCTTAGAAAAGCCTTTTTAAAATAAAATATGAGTTTATTCTGCTGCTGCTGCTGCTGCAAAAAAAAATCCAAATTGGTATCCAGGCATGGTGTTTTTATAGTACACATTTTCTATGAACATTTTGTTAAATAAGATTTGTTTTTATTGGAAAGTCAGATATATACAGAGAGGAGCAGACCTGGAGAGGAAGATCTTCCATTTGATGGTTCACTCCCAAAGCAGCCACAATGGCCGGAGCTGAGCCAATCTGAAGCCAGGAGCCCAGAGCTTCTTCCGAGTCTCCCACGGCTAGCAAATGATCCAACTATAGTTGCCGTTTTAAGTTCTTTTTTAAGATTTCTTCATTTATTCTTATTGGAAAGATCTACAGAGAGAAGGAGAGAAAGATCTTTCATCCACTGGTCACACCCCAAATGGCCACAATGGCCAGAGCTAAG